AGTCTGAGGCAAGAGGATCCCAACTTCAATACCAGCTTGGGCAACTTAATGAGACACTGTCTCAGAATACTTTTAATAAGGGGCTTGGGATGTAATTCAGTAGTAGAGCACTTGCCTAGCATGCTCAAGGCTCTGGGTTCAAATACATGTATTACAACAAAGAAAAAAAGAACAGAGAGAGAAGGAAGGAAGAGGGGCAGGCAAAAGGAAGGAAAGGGAGAGGAGAGAGAGGGGCCGTAGAGGAAGAGAGGAGAAGGCAGGAGAAGGGGTGGGGGAGGGACCTAGGAAGGAAGACAAGGAAGGAAGGGGGAAGGGAGGAGAGAGGGAAGGGAAAGGAAGGAAGGGAAGGGAAAAAACTGCTGAGACTTATGAATGTAAGGTGCCATCACCCGTACAGATAACTCAGTTTCAGCAAAGTAAAAATATTGTCTTAGATTCGACATGTTATTTTTATGTCTTTTCTAGAGCTTTATGTTTTTTATTATAATATTATAAAATGATATAAATTTGCCAGGAACCTTTAAGTAGTGGCAAGGTATTCTTATTTTTTATTGTTTTGTTTTGTTTTGTTTTTTTTGTTTTTTTTTTCCTGTGACAGGGTCTCACTATGTAGTTGAGAATGAACTGGAACTCACTATGTAGCCTAGGCTGGTCTCGAACTCACAGTGATCCTCCTGCCTTAGCCTCCTGAGTACTGGGATTACAGGCGTGTGCTACCATGCACGGCTTTGATTGAGTTTTTAATAGGATTTGGTATTGAATTTTCCCTTACCTTTAAATTCTAAAAAATTATTTTTCTATTGAAGAGAGTCTGGAGGTACATGTCTAGCAGGTTCTTTTATTGTATGAATTGAATGGGTACCTAAATATCAAATGGGACTTCAAAAGAAATAAATCATTTAAGAATGAAATTAATAGGGCTGGGCGTGGTGGTGCATGCCTATAATCCCAGCACTCGGGAGGCTGAGGCTGGAGGATCACTCTGAGTTCGAGACCAGCCTGGGCTACCCAGTGAGTTCCAGGTCAGTCTCAACTACATAGTGAGACCCTGTCTCCAAAAAAAAAAAAAAAAAGTTAAATATAGAGTTGACATATGACCCAGGAAATTCACTCATAGCTTTATATCCAAGAAAAATAAAAACATATATATCCAAACTAAGATATTTTTTTTGAAGCAAAACTTTTATTGGTACATTTTAGGTATACATAATGATAACATTCATCATAAGATATTTGTACCTGTACATGATCTACCTTCTTTTTTCCCATTCCCCCACCCATCTTCTCCTCATTTACAAAAGCTTTGTTTCCATTTGTTCCTTCTATTCTTTTATCCTTGTCCTTTCTTTCCCTTTCCCCTCCCCTCCCTTTTTCCCCCTTCTCATTGGAATGCTTTCTTCCTATTTCCCAATACCTATTATATATTTTGGTCCTTATTTCCACTTTCAGTTTCTCACACCAGAGAATGCGGTATTTAAACTTGTATGTCCACTTTATCTCATTTAATAGTATGGTCTCAAGATGCATCCAATTAGCTATAAATGTCTCAAATTTATCCTTCTTTATGGCAGAGTAGTACTCGATTATATTAAAACCACCTTTTTGGTTTTGTTTTCTTTAAATTTATTGGTACTTTTTAGATATACAGTACAGTTACATTCATCATTGGGATCTTGTGCCTTTACAGGATGCATGTTGGTTCTTATTTTTTCCCCATTCCCCTACCCTCCCTTCACCCAGTCCACCCTTCCCTATTTCAAAGACTTTGTTTCCATCTTTGTTTACAAAGACTTTTCCTTTTCTCATTTTTTCTTTTCCCTTTTTTTCCTTTCCTCTACCCTTCCCACTTCTTCTACTCCTTTAGACCTTTTCTTCCTATTTCACATTATCAGTTGTACAATTTGAACCTTATTTACACTTTCACTTTTTCACAGCAGAGAAACTATTCAGTATTTACATGTGTGTCCTATTTATTTCACTTAAGAGTATGGGGATTTAGCTCAGTGGTTCTGCTGCCTACCTCACAAGTGCAAGGTCCCGAGTTTGATCCCTGGTACAAAAGAAAAAAAAAAGAGTATGGCCTCAGTGTGCATCCACTTAGCTATAAATGTCTCTAGTTTCTCATTCTTTATGGCTGAGTAGTACTCCATTTTATTTTTTTAAAAAACACACATCTTCTTTATCCATTCATCAGTTGGTGGGCATTTGGGCTATTTCCAAGATTCAGCTGTTACAAGCTGTGCTGCTATAAATGTGAGTGTGCACATATTGCTGTGGAATGATGCTTTTAATTCTTTCAGAAAGATACCAAGAAAGGGAATAGCTGGGTCAAATGGAATCTCTGGTTTTAGTTTTTTGAGGAATCTCCACATTAATTTCCACAGTGGTTGCACCAGTCTACACACCTACCAACAGTAGAGAAGGGTTTCTTTTTCCCCACATACACACAGCATTTGTTATTAGTTGATTTTTTTTACATAACAGCCATTCTTTCTGGAGTGAGATGAAATCTGAGTCATTTCAATTTGCATCTTTTGAATGACCTGTGATATTGAACATTTTTCCATATATTTACTATTTCTATTTCATCTAACAAGTGTCTGTTTATTTCAGATGCCCGTTTTTGGACTAGGTCTTTAAATTTGGAGGGTCGGCTTTCTTTGAGTTATTTATATATTCTACATAATAGTCTTTTATCTGAGGAACTGCTGGCAAAAGTTTTTTCCCACACTGTGGGTTGTCTCTTCACTCTGTTTATATTTTCTCTTGCTGTGCAGAAGCTTTTTTGTAGGATGACATCCCAGTTGTTGATTCTTTGATATTTCTTGTGCAGTTGGGGTTTTGTTCATAAAGTCTTTGCCTACACCAGTGTTTTAAAGACACCTACTCTCTCTTCCAGAAGATTTAGTGTTTGTGTATTAATGTTTAAATCTTTGAATCATTTCAGTTTTACTTTAGTGCATGGTAAAAGGTAAGGGTCAAGTTGTAATCTTTGGCAAGTTGAAACCCAGTTTTTTCCAGTACCACTTATTAAAGAGGCTATCTTTCTTCTAGTGAAGGTGTTTGGCTCTTTTATCAAAGATAAGGTGGCTGAGTATGTCTGGCATTGTTTCTGCGTCTTATTATCTGTTCCTTTAATCCTAAAGTCTATTTTTTTGCCACTGCCATGCTGTTTTTATCATAGCAGCTCTTTTTTTTGGGGGGGGGTTTCCCAGGGATTGAACTCAGGACCTTGCACGTGTGAGGCAGGCAGTGGCACCACTGAGCTAAATCGCCAGTCCACAGTAGCTTTATGGTCTAATTTCAAGTCCGGGATTGTGATGGCCCTTGTCTTGGTTGCCCAGAATTGCTTTTGCTATTATAGGTCTCTTCTCGTTCCAAATGAATTTTAATATTGTTTTCTCTAATTCTGTGAGATATGCTATTGGAATTGCATTAAATCTGAATAACAATTTTGGAAGTATGGCCATTTTCACTATATTGGTTCTACCTACCCAAGAATTAAGGGACATCTTTTCATTTTCTAATATATTCTTCACTCTCCTTTTTCAGAGTACTGTAGTTTTCCATGTAAAGGTCTTTTACTTCCTTCATTAAATTGATAACTAGATATTTCTTTTTTTTTTTTTTAGTTTATTGGTACATTTTAGGTATACAGTACAGTTACATTCATTATTGGGATCTTGTACCTTTACATGACAGGTCTTGGTTCTCATTTTTTCCCCTTGTGCCTGCCCTCCCTTCACCCCCTCCTCCCCTCCCCATTTACAAATACTTTATTTCCATTTTTTCATTTTCTCATATTTTTTTCTTTTCCCTTATGACCTTTCCCCTACCCTTCCCACTTTCCCTACACCTTTAGCCCTTTTCTTCCTATTTCACAGATATTTAATTTTTTGGATGCTGTTGTGAGGCAGGCGATGGCACCACTGAGCTAAATCCCCAGCCCTTTTGGGTACTACTATGAAAGGTGTAGTTTCCTTAATTTCTCTCTCAGTAAGTTTGTTATTTGTATGTATTCATGCTCCCTTCCCCTTGGCTAGAATAGATAACTAAATAAATCTTAAAAGTAACTTTCCCTACCAAAGAAGTCATACTCCTGGGTTGAAATTCAACTGTCTCTTGCCACCATGTTTTGAATATCAATAATGTAAACTGTAAAAATGCAGTGTAACCACCTGGATGAGATCAAGGCTGTAAAACTCTATAAAAGAGGGAGTTGTAGCCAAGTACTGGATCGAACAGGGCACCGCCCTTAGGTGTCATCAATCCCCATTGATGGAGTAAACTTGTGTCATTATATTTCCATTCTGCTGCCTCTCTGTGTATCACTTGCCAATCCCTTCCGTAACAACCACATACTGTGTGGTTCAATTCACACAGTGTACAGAAAAGTGAAATGCAAAATCTAAAGAAATGGAAAAATAAATGATTTCCAGAAATAGATTAGGCTTCAAATAATTACAAAGGAAATTTTGGGATGATTAATATGTTCATAAACAGAATTGGAATGATGGTTGCAAAGTTCTGTATATTGTTTAAAATGACTAAACTTAAGGTACACTTAAAGTGGATAAGTTTTGTGATGTTTAAATTGTATCACAGTCAGGCTTTTCATAAAAAAAATAAATAAATTAGTCCAGACATAGCGGTACATGCCTGTAATACTAGCTACTCAGGAGCCTAAGATGGAAAGATTGCAAATTTGAGCCCAGCCTAGAAAATTTAGTGAGACTTTGTCTCAAATCAAACAATCAAAAGGAGCTGGGATGTAGATCAGCACTTCCTACATTCAATCCTAAGTACTGAAAAAAAAAGTAAATTAAAAAGTAAAACAAGGCAGGGGATTTAGCTCAGCGGTTCCACCATCTGCCTTGCAAGCACAAGGATCCGAGTTCAATCCCCAGTACAAAAAAAAAAAAAGTAAACATAACAAACTGGAACAGGATATTAGGAAAGCAGACTATTTAGTATGATTTTTGTTTGTTTGTGTTTTGCAGTTTACAATTCCTGGATGAAAGAGCATGGAGGATCTATTGTTAATATCATTGTCCTTCTTAGTGGACAACCATTAATAGCGTAAGCAGTTTTATATTTTTTTCTTACTGTGTCCTTCAGTTTTGTCTCTGAATGAGATTAAGAGTATAGGAAAAATTGCTTAAGTCAATATGATTGATGCCTTCAATGAGTTGAGACCTCAATAGTTTCCTTTTATTGGAATATTTAAAATGTCCTTCTAGCTGGGCATGGTGGCACATGCCAGTAATCCCAGCACTTGGGAGGCTGAGGCAGGAGAATTGCTGTGAGTTCGAGACCAGCCTGGGCTACATAGTGAGTTCCAGGTAAGTCTCAACTACATTGTGAGACCCCGTCTCAAAAAATAAAAAACAAAAAACAAAAACAAAACAAATATATATATATATATATTTATATATATATATATATAAAATGTCCTTCTAAAATATGCCAGATTGTCCTAAATCATTCAGAGTAAGGTCACTATATTTAGTGAGAAAGGTGGCAAAACACAGGGTACCCAGTGATGTAATTTTTTAGTATAAATATCTGCAAGATATTTTGTAAAGGATAATTATGCTAGAAAGTTTTGTTTTGTTTTGTTTTTTGGTACCAGGGATTGAACTCAGGACCTTGTGCTTGAGAGGAGCTAAATCCCCAGTCCATAGCAAGTTATTTCTTATTTACCTCAAATTCATATAAAACTGTATGTCCTATATTTCATCTAGCAACTCTAATCTGGATGTTATTAGACTGTCACCACTGGGGGAGAGCTCCTTTGTTAAGGTCCAGAGACACAAATAAAATCTGTGTTAATTTAGACAACTACTATGAATATAGCTATTTGATCTTAGAAAAAATGCAAAATTGTTACTCCCAATAGAAAGGGAGAATTATTTACCAACAATTTAAGGTTGTATACTTCTACTTGGCCGCTCTACAAGTAAAGTGCTTGCTTCTCTACTCAGATTCCAACAGTCTGCTTGCTTCTTGTATTATAGGTCTCCCTCACATATGTAGGATGGAAAAAAAATTAATCTGGCTTAAAAATGGAGATCAGTGGTTCTAGACCAGCAAAACGAGCTTACAGCACTGTGTGTCAAGAACTGTTTGTCTTCCAGCCACTCCCCCACAAGGTCTTCTGCATCTGGAGCTGTGGGAGCAGTGCCCAGCAGCCCATATGCCCAAATCCTCAGGTGGGGGGTCCAGGCAGAACTACTGAGCCAGGGTATAGTGGGCTCAGGCACTGTGGTGACCAAAACCTGCCTCTCCTTCTGGTTTTGCCCCAGGCTCACCTTCCTTCTCAGGCAGGCTCACTGTACCTGTGGCCAAAAAAGAGTATCTGCAACTTAGAGGTCAATATCTAAATTCTACTTAAGTCTGAAATTTGAGAGCACTGCCTGAAAAATAATGTAATGCCAGTTCCAGCAGTTCCCAAAGAAGATATACATAAGCTGACCCTGCTTGGGTCATGTGTGCAGCCATCAAATAAATTCTGTGAAGATGGGGTTGCTCTGCAGTGCACAGCCAGCCTGAGGAACTGGGAATAATGCCACTCAGACATGGACTTGAGGAGATTTCTGCAAGTGGAAATTAAAGTGTTTTACCAAAAGCAGAGTAAAGAATAGAGGCAAAGGGTTTACCCTTGAAGAGATGGTCTTCAAAGAAGAGAAGAGAAGCAGGGACAGAAAAACATTTTTTGAAGATGTTTTGCCAAAACTTTTTCAAATTTGATGAAAGCTAAAAGCCTATAGATCTGAGAAGTTCAGTACCCTAAGCACAAGAACATGAAAACTGCACGCAGTTCATCATAATCACATTGCTCAAAACCAGTGGGAATCTGAGAAGCTGTTGAAAGCAACCAAAGTGGGCTGGTGATGTAGCTCAATGGCTCCTCTCCGCCCACCAAGTGTAAGGTCCTGAGTTCAATTCCCATACCAGAAATAAATAAATAAATGCATCTCTGCACAGAGACAGATGTCATTGAAAACAATGCATATTAGAAGATTGTGGAATAAAGTGTTTAAGTACTGCAGGGAAAAACCACATCAATAGAATTCTTTGCCCAAAATAAATGTCTTCTAAGAAAAGGTGGAATAAATTTTTTTTAAAAAAGAAGAAAGAAAAGGTGGAATAAAGTCTTTTTCACATGGTCTCCATCAGAAACAATTTATCACCAGCAGACCTGAACAAAATAAATGTTAACCACATGTCCTTCCACATTTATTAAATAATCTCTCTTTCCTCAGCTGATTTCAGATATTCTTGGATGGAGAAATTTCCTAATTCTCTTTGGAGGCTAATTTTTCCCTGTTAAATCATCCCCCCTTTGGTTCTCAGAATCCTCTACTCTGGTTGTAGTTAGAAATTCTGAATCACTGTATCTCTTTACCTTCTGCATTAGACTCCATTACAGATGCACACCTAAATAATTTGGACCTTGAGCCCAGGATTTAGCTCAGTGGTTCTGCCACCTATCTCACAAGCACAAGGACCCGAGTTCCATCCCTAGTAGCAAAAAAAAAAAAAAATTTTTTTTAACCTCTTACTGGCAGGGCAGTAATGTTTATTTAGATTTTGATGTACCTAGAAATGCTATCATCATATTTCTAACCACATATATGGATTTCATATCAATTAAATCAATTTAATAATGACCACTTACTAGTAACTCTTAAAATTGTCTTCTGTCATAAAAAGTTCATTATCATATTCCTCTTATGCACATGATGATATAGGGGACTCTACCGATGCATTGTTTGATCAGAGCACTGTGGTTTGGCTTTAACACTGAAAGACCCAGTTCTTTCCTTATCATTTAGCAGAGACTCAACAAGACAGAGAGACTCATAACAAGAATGTTAATAAGAAATAAATTCAACAGAAGCTGATTGTACTGTTTGTATTTTGTCTTTGAAGTCACAGTGGAGCTGCGAGGGAAGGTGTTTACCATCTCACCAAGTCCCTGGCTGTGGGATGGGCCAGGAGTGGAGTAAGAATCAACTGTGTTGCTCCTGTAAGTCATTGTTCTATGGGGAAAATGCGAGCAGCTTAAATGTGCAAGTATACAGTGAAAGATTGGCTTTAATAAATAGATAAAACTAGAAAGTTCAACCTGCTGTATATAGAAGTATTCTTTGGTTGACAGATTGTCAGGAAGGTTAAATTTACACAGTGATTCTCAATGCTGGCTATATATTAATGTAATATATTAAACCGTTGTGATATGTGAGCTTCACTCCAAATCAGGGGGTCCAGGAGCCTACATTTTAAAAACCAGCCTAGAAACCTCAGAGAACAATTTTTCAATATCATTTTGTTGTTTTTTATTTTATCATTAATCCTTTTTTTTGGTTTTTTGAGACAGGGTCTCACTATGTAGTTGAGACTGACCTGGAACTCACTATGTAGCCCAGGCTGGTCTCGAACTCACAGCGATCCTCCTTACTCAGCCTTCTGTGTGCTGGGATTACAGGCATGTGCCACCACGCCTGGCTTATCATTAATCCTTTTTTAGGAGATAACTTGAATGTCAGTGTTATAGAAAGATTAACCAGAAGTCAAGACAAAATTTCACTGAATCATAGTGCAAAATAAGGAGGAAATCACAGTATACTCAACTTGGAAAACTCATTTTTGTGAAATAAGTACTAGCATTGGCCTCCTTGGTATTACATACTGTCCACATGTTCCAAGAGAGATGTTAGGTGAAGTAAATTACCTTCTACAACTTGGTTTAATTTCTACTTTTTCAGTCATATTTTCTGGTTATCATTTAGATGACAGCAATCTATCTGAAACACTATAATACCTTTAGCTATTATGTATAGATTTACCTATATAATGGCTCTGGATCTATATCCACACTACTAGTGGGAGCTAAGGATTACCAGACTGATTGAAATTAGCAGAGAAACCTCTCTAACAAAACTACAATTTCCTACCCCAAAACCTTATATATCTTCTGTCTTTTGTGGTATATTAACTTATCTGTATTATACTCAAATATTTATAAGACAAATTAATTATAGTTCCATTCTTTTTGTTTTGTTTTGTGGTACCTGGGATCGAACTCAAGACCTTGGCGCTTGCAAGCAGGTGCAGTGTCGCTGAGCTAAATTAAATCCCCCGCCCTTCTAGTTCCATTCTTAATGTTGATAACTTGGAATTCTGGCCTCCAAAAGAGTGGGGTTTTTTAAACCTTAAATGATGTCAGTATAATTAACTCTATACAAATTCGTATTTGTCCTTTAGAGATTTTTTTGAAGTTTACTGTTTATACTTTAGTACTTCCTTTTTTGTTTGTTTGTTTGTTTGTTTGTTTTTGGTACTGGGGATGAACTCAGGTCCCTGTGCTTGCAAGGCAGGTGGTGGAACCACTGAGCTAAATCCCCAGCCCTATATTTTAGTTCTTCTAAGAGGTTTCATCCTCTTTAAATAACATACACACAAATTGTTTAGTTGGAAACCACTGTATCTCTCTAGTGTCCATCAGGGTAAGTAATAAATCCCAGCTAAACGATTGGGAGTTCCTGAGGAGGTGCTGTATATTTCTAGAATTGATTACAATGACCATGTTTTACACTTTGGAGATTTATAACATTCTGAGCACTTTTCAGGAATCTGGTTAGTTGATTGAGATCATTTCTCTCACTGCCACCAAAACATTTCTCCTGGGCTTTCTGGCTCTTGGGAATATTCTGATGGTTCTTTGACCATGGTAACCGCCTTTAACACAAAAGTGAATGTAATGTGAATTGAGAACAACCTGGTTTTATTGTTTCATTTTACTTTTCAGATTTCTTCATTTGATTTTTTTGTTCTGTTTTGTCTTTTTTTTTTTTTTTGGTACTGAGATTGAACTCAGGACCTTGCACTTGCAAGGTAGGCGTGTTGCTGCTGAACTAAATCCCCAGCCTTTCATTTGACTTTATTCCTTTTTCTTCCCTGTCTCTGTATTAGTCTTAGTCAGAATCAATTGCAAACAGCTTTATCCTGTGTCAAACAGTTTTCAGGTAATTTTCATGACCCTGAAAGCCCTTGAAAGCTAGGGAAAGATAAATGAAAGATTGTTAAATTTTGTTTTGAGACAGTCTTGCTATATATGTGGTCTAGGCTAGCCTTGAACATGATAGATAACCCAGGCTGGCTCAAATTCATGATCCTCCCATCTCAGCCTGCCAAGTGCTGAGATTTTAAGTGTGCTCTACCATACCTGAGTTATGAAAGTTTTTTGGGTTTTTTTGGTACTGGGGATTGAAATGAGGTCCTTGTGCTTGCAAGGGAGGTGGCAGCACCTTTGAGCTAAATCCACGGCCCATGAAAGGATTTTTAAACAATTAAAATTAATTTATTTAGAGCGATTTGACATGTTTTACTTGTGATTTCACTCTGGATGAAAAATGTTGCAGTTTTAAGCCCTTCATCAGTTCCCTCCCCTTTATAAAGCACAGATACCTAATGGACTGGTTATTCCCAGAAGCTGATAGTTAAAACCAAGTCTTTCATGAAAATATCCAAAATATCCAGAACTGGGCTGGTTACTGAGGGAAAGGCAATCACCAAATGAGCATTTAGATAATCCATGTGTGAATAGTAGTTGACTGTACACCTTTTACAATATTAAGAAAATTTGGTGTTAGAAATGTTAACATTTCTTTTAGAGTTAAACTACTTAATTTTTGGTGATGACTGATGAATTGCTTTGATGTATTTGCAATTAAACTTTGAGTTTTTATACTTTATCTTTTTCTTGTTTTGTTTTTAAACACAGGGAATAATTTATTCCCAGACTGCTGTGGACAACTATGGTGATTTAGGAGAAATCGGATTTTCAAGTTTCTTTCAGAAAATCCCAGCTAAACGATTGGGAGTTCCTGAGGAGGTGCTGTATATTTCTAGAATTGATTACCATGATCATGTTTTACGCTTTGGAGATTTATAACATTCTGAGCACTTTTCAGGAATCTGGTTGGTTGATTGAGATCATTTCTCTCACTGCCACCAAAACATTTCTCCTGGGCTTTCTGGCTCTTGGGAATATCCTGGTGGTTCTTTGACCATGGTAACCGCCTTTAACACAAAAGTGAATGCAATGTGAATTAAGACCAACCTGGTTTTATTGTTTCATTTTACTTTTCAGCTACATAGTTTTATCACAAGATAACTTGTTGGTACACAGGCCTGTAAACAAGTCAAATGGCTTTGGGTAAGGTGGCCCAATTGAAGTATGTAAATCATAGGGTTTCTCAAATGCCAGCAATATAAATCTTAAAATTTTAAAGGAGTATCTTTTCTACAATAATAATAAAAACTACAATATCTAGGAACAAACTTAGCTCTAGTAAAAAACAAAAGCAACTTTTTACTGAACAGAAAAAATACCAGAATAAATGAAGAGGTATCATGTTCATTAGTGGGGGAAGCCAATTTTTTATAAAATTCAAGTTTATTACATTTTTATTACTATAGGTTTAATACATTTTTTTCTTTCATTGAGTTTAATTGGTACATTTTAGGTATACAGTACAGTTACAGTCATCAAGTTTAATACATTTTTAAAGTTAACATGCTAGTTCTAAAGTTTGTTTAGAAAAGTATCTATGCAAAACTTTTCCAGGGACAGTGTCACACGCCTGAAATCTAGCACTCAGAAGGCTGAGGCAGGAGGATTTTCATGAGTTTGAGGCCAGGCTGGGCTACACAGTGAGTTCAAGGCCATCCTGAACTACATAGTGAGTCTCTGTCTCAAAACAAAAACTATAATACAGAGGATATCAACAGTAAACATTTTAGCATATTACCTTTCTCTTTGTGTACATATGTTTGGTAGAAAATACATGTTATATGGCTGTTGAAAAAATCTTTATTTTCAGAAAAACAAAAATTATTTTGTTAATTTTACTTGAATTTTAAGTCTCTGGCAGCACTGTTTTATTTTTTTTCTAAACAGACAGACTATTTTACTTGCAAAGCTAGCTTTTTAGAATTCTTCTTGGGCCGGAGATTTAGCTTAGTGGCACTGTACCTGCCTCACAAGTGCAAGGTCCTGAGTTTGATCCCCGGTACCACAAAAAAAAAAAAAAAAACTAAAATTCTCCTTTATATAACTTTAAGTAATATAATATTAATTAAGATAAAGCACAGTATTTGGAAAGACAGTTAAGATGTGTCCATGAATATGGTCTAGGATGACTGGCTTTCTTCTTAAAGTGTTAGTCTAGACTAGTGCCTTGTCTGATATGGTGGCTATGGAACCTCATTTCAGTTGCTCAAAAAGTATATTACTAGTGGCTAACATTGACATTTCTGTCACAGAAAGTGGTTGGGTTGATTTGGATGCTGTCACAAAAACAGTTTATGCCAGGTGTGGTAGTGCACTAGGGAGTCTGAGGCAGGAGGATCACTGTGAGTTTGAGACCAGCCTGGGCTACATAGTGAGATCCTGTCTCAAAAAACCAAAAACAACAACAACAAACAGTATAAAGAACTAGCATGAGAAATGTTTGGAAAGAGAATACAGCAGATCATTTCAAAAGTTTATATAATCTAAGGAAATTAATCCATAGTATATTTCAGGAAACAAAAAAGGAGCAATGCAAGGGATATGACTATCATTTTAGTGTTTGATTTATCAGGTGCTATGTTAGGCAACTTACATATGTAATACCAGCCCTGGTGAGGTTACTAATGAGGGTTTAAAGGGTTTAAAGAAGTGAACTTTAACCTAGCATCATACACTGAAAAAAAGGTTCAAGTCTGTAATTCTAAAGAACTATCCCAAAATATTTGGAATCTTCAAGAGACTTTCCCTGGGCTGGGGATTTAGCTCAGTGGTGCCCCCACCTGCCTTGCAAGCACAAGGTCCCAAGTTCAATCCCTGGTACTGCCAAAAAAAAGACAGACTGTCTAAATCTTACAGAAATAGAGCTTTCCAAGGATATAGATTGAAACTGATCCCTTGTGAGGAAGGTTATTAAATGCATTCTAAGATTTTATGGGTTAACAATCCTATGTAAGCACTGAACTTAGAAAATGATGCAAATGTAACTTTTTTTCACTGATAGTATCATCCAGTTTATGATCTTCCATTTTGAGCCTTAGACTCACCTCCCAGCAGCCACTGCTTCCTGTTCTTCCACCAGGCAGGAGCTCCACTTTTCCTGACTCAACCAGGGCAGCCATCTTTGGCTGACAAGTGACTGGGCCACCCAAAACATAGTTTAGAGCTGTATTAGTTACAATATCTCATGCTAGCTGTGGCACAGACTAAAATTAAGGGACTCAATGAATTCCTGAGTCAGAATCACATGGAAATGGTAGTTTATTGTATACAAACAGTATTTCAAAACTGTGAGGAAAGAAAATATTTAGTAAAAGTCTTAGGGCAATTGTCTATTCATTTAGACATGAATTAGTGCTCGCTTCGGCAGCACATATAAAATTTAGACATAAATTAACTTCCCTATCATGTCTATAAAGCAAAACCATAAAACTTTTAAAAGAAAATGTGGTTCTAGTTTCTAGAATTAGCAAATGCTTAATGTCTCCCCACAAATTTACTATATATACCTTAACAATATTTATATTTATATGTATTAGCTTTCTTTCTTACAAAAATAGGATCATGCTTCATGTTTGTTTCTGCACCTTGCTATGGATGTGCCATAATATAGTTAATCAGACCCTATTGTTACACACCTGGCTTCTGTTTATATTTCTGCGAGTGCAATCATCTAGAAGTAAACATCCTTCTACATAGTCATACACTATAGTGTGAGGGGTCGATTTCTAAAGTAAAATGCCTGAAGGAAAAGATGGTTATATATTAAATTTTGCTAGCTCTCTTACTTTCTTGGGGCTGAGATGCAATTTAAAAGAGAGGAGGTTAAGTGCAAGGACCCAAGTTCAATCCCCAGTACCAGAGAGAGAGAGAGAGAGAGAGAGAGAGAGAGGGAGGTTTATTTTGGCTCATGTTTTAGAATTGTCAATTCTTATATGGTTGGCTAGCTGCAAGGCAGAGGGGTGTGGTGGAGAGTTACTCAGGGCATGCCACCAGGAAATAGTGGGTGCTCATTTCATCAGCACATATACAAACAGGAAACAGTGGGTCAAGGGAGGAGCTGGGAATAGAGATATATAGCAGGTCATGCTCATGGTGAACTGCCTCTTCTCACACCTACCTCTTCCTAACACCGTAATGGTGCCTGCCGTAATGCCCCTGTAATCCATACACCTTCCAAACTTCCCACCTAAGGTCACATCAGGCTTTAAGGGGACATTTAATATAAACCATAATACATCCTTCCAGGGAAAGAACATTTGGAATGATGGCCATGAAACACAGACAAACCTTATGGGAACACTCAGGAAAACTTGATGAGCAGGTATGACTTGAATCTTTTTCCACAGAGTACAAGCCCAGGCTTTAGAGGGTTGGGAGAAGCTAAGGCTACAAGGCCAAATCATAAATTAAAACAGTTAATATGATTAAAACAATTGCTTTTGGCTACTGTGAGCTTGATACTTGGTACCATTTTCCCTATCTTGAAGAGTATGCATGGCTAGGACATCTTTATATGCGTGAATTCTTTTTTTTTTTTTTTTTTTTTTTTTTTTTTTTTT